CACGGCCAGCGCCGCGCCGCCTGCCCGCGCCTGGGCAGCGCCCGCCCTGCGACATCATCGCCAGCCCCTTCCCCACCCTCGCCCCAGCAAAAAAGCACCTTTGCCTGAAGTGAGGGATTAAAGGAAAAGGGGTCACAGGAAGTGGCATTTCATCACATCAATTTCCCCTCTTGTTACGATCTTTTTTGCCACTGTGGAAGTCTTATGTTGGTAGTTACTGACCAGCCCCACTGGTTGTGGGTCCAGAAGGAAAAACTGTGGAATTAATGGATACTTGTGTTTATCCTAGTGGGGGAAAAAAAAAGAAAGATGTCAAGGGGGAGTCCATCCAAATGTATCCATATGAACATCTTTGGGAAGTACCAGCAGGTGTTTCAAGTGTTGTTTAATGTTTTTGTTCTCCTTTTCCATGTCCCAAAAGACATTTGAAGCTAAAATTCACCACCTGGAGACCAGGCTTAGCCGAAAGCCCCGTGAAGGGACCGCTGAACTGGAGTACTTTGTGCGCTGTGAAGTCCACAGCTCTGACCTCAATACTTTCATTAGCTCCATCAAGAGGGTAGCAGAAGACGTGAGGACCACTAAGGAAGACAAATGTAAGGAACTTATGAACTGTTTGACTTTTGCAGAGAGGCTCAGCTGTAGAAACAGGTTGGAGACTTTGTTATTCCCAGAAAAGGAGAAGGGCTGCTGTATGCTGAATTTGAGCAAAACAGAAATGACAGGGCCTCAGGGACACCTGAGTCCTGAAAGCCACTTCCCTCCTTGTCCATTTCGCAACAGACTCCAGAGTCCATAGCCCATTCTTCTGCTGCCAGATTGAAAAAAAAAGAAATAGGAAATCACATTTCATGCTTTGTTCACACCTCTCCTACAGAGTTCTCCATCCCTACTCCAGTGTTTTATATGTAAAGTAGTTTCCTACGTATGTCTCAGGAACTCTGTACAGACCCATCCCTAAACTACAAGACACTCCCCATGCCATCCTGTTGTGAAGACAGGGTGATTCTTATTGTAAAATATCCCTAGAGATCTGCAGTGATGGCTCTACAACCTGGATTTGTTTTTAATGTGAATTCTAGAATCTTTAAGTAAAATCCAATTTTCATCTTCTTTACTTTTGTTACAAAATACTCTCTGAGAGATGGGCAGGGAAGCCATGAGATGCAGATTGTGGCATTAGACCTGACTCTAGGACAAGAGCATTCAGAGTGTGAGACTACTGCCTGGAAGGCACAGCTGTGTCATGTGCTGTTTGTTGTGTGTATGCATTCAGTACACCAAGTCGTATGTATATTATTCAACCTCAGAACCCCTTCTCAGCAGCAGATGCTCCATCTTCACTTCCATAGCCAGTTTTTCTCTTTCTCTCTCCCCACAGTTCACTGGTTTCCCAGAAAAATCTGTGAGTTGGATAAATGCCACCATTTAGTCACCAAGTTTGACCCTGACTTGGATCTGGATCACCCGGTGAGTTAGTCTGTGTGGGAACATCCTCACGCTGGAGTCCTGAGTCTTCCCTCAGAAGCAGGGAGCTGGAGAACACCTATTAGTGCAGCTGATCAGGGAATTGTAGTGCAGTCACCACCATGAGAGAAGTTTCTCCAGCCAGTTATGAACTTTGATGGGTGAGAAATTTTAGTAACTGTTTAAAAATCCTGTCTCTGTTCCTATTTGTTATCACAGGGCTACTCTGACCAAGAGTATCGCCAAAGAAGGAAATCGATAGCAGAAATTGCTTTTCACTATAAGCAGTAAGTCTCTTTCCTAACATCTATGTAGGGATAATGCCATGTCAGTGCAACTTGTTGGGGAGTCATTGTGCAATCTGCATTTATGCTTTGTCTCCCCATTCCGCCTTGCCAGCTCTTTTTGTGTCCCTCTTCTCTTTATGTATTCCAGTCTCTTCTTAATTAAAAAATGTCTGTGGTCATTAAGTCATACATTGATAAAGCCAGAATAAACCTCCTGCATAACAAAAGCCATGTATAGTTCCATAGAATCATAGAACCTTTGAGTTGGAAGGGACCTTTAAAGGTCATCTAGTCCAACCTCTCTGCAATGAGCAGGGATATCTTCAACTAGATCAGGTTGCTCAGAGCCCTGTCCAACCTGACCTTGAATGTTTCCAGGGATGGGGCATCTGCCACCTCTCTGGGCAACCCGTTCCAGTGTTTTATCACCCTCATCGTGAAAAACTTCTTCCTTCTATCTAGTCTGAATCTGCCCTTTTTTAGTTTAAAACCATTATCCCTTGTGCTATTGCTACAGGCTCTGCTAAAAAGTAAGCCCCCTTTAAGTACTGGAAGGCTGCAATAAGGTCTCCCCAGAGCCTTCTCTTCTCCGGGCTTAACAACCCCAACTCTCTCAGCCTGTCCTCATAGGAGAGGTGTTGCATCCCTCTGATAATTTTTGTGGCCCTCCTCTGGACTCTCTCCAACAGGTCCATGTCTTTCCTGTGCTGAGGGCTCCAGAGCTGTACACAGTACTCCAGGTGGGGTCTCACCAGAGCAGAGTAGAGGGGCAGAATCATCTCCCTCGACCTGCTGCCATGCTTCTTTTGATGCAGCCCAGCATACAGTTGGCCTTCTGGGCTATGAGTGCATGTTGCCAGCTCATGTCCAGCTTTCCATGCACCAGTACCCCCAAGTCCTTCTCTGCAGGGCTGCTCTCAATCCCTTCATCCCCCAGCCTGTATTGAGGCCAGGGGTTGCCCCAATCCAGGTGCAGGACCCTGCACTTGGCCTTGTTGAACCTCATGAGGTTCGCACAGGCCCATTTCTCAAGCTTGTCGAGGTCCTTCTGGATGGCATCCCGTTCCTCAGGTGTGTCAACCACACCACTCAGACCTCAAACTTAATTTTGAAATGTAGCATCTCTTTTAGAATGACATTTAGTTTTGACCTCAGTGTTTCAAGTACTGAAAAAGCTACTACATGCTCAGAAATCTTGTTCCAATGGTTCATTATCCTGGCTGTGAAAAAATGTGGGTTTTGTTTCTAAACTGAACTTTATAGCTTTAGCAATGGATAATACATGCCTTTCATCTGCTAGATTGAATTCTGCTGTCAAGGTTTTTTTGCTATGAGGGTATTTATATACTAAATGATTCACCTCCTAACTCCTTCTGATAAATAGATTCCAGTAATGGTCTCATCATTGTCTTATATAGATTTAAGAGTATCTCTTGTACTCCTACTTAATACTCCTGTTCTGATACAGGCAGTTATAGCATTCAGCCTCTTCACTGCAACATCAAAGAGAGATCTATTATTTAGTTGGGTTTGTAAAATATTCCCTAGATACTATTCAGTAAAACACCTTACACTGTAGCGTCTCCCTTTCTGAGCAGGACTTTAAATGTAAATTTCTGCAGCAAGCTGTGCTGAAAGCAGGCTATGGAAGTTATATGTGTCGTCTTCTTGAGCTACCCCTGCAACCAGTGTGATCCCAGCATGGCTTTCTGCTCTCTTAGGTTTCATGTTCTTGGCAGATTTGAAGCCCAGAATATAACATTGATGTTTTATCCTGTACTACTACTGAATGCACAGAAAGGCACTGTGCCAGCAAGAGAGTCCTGAGGGACACAGGAAAAAATACTGTCCTAAGATGATGTCCATATCTCACATGATGTCTTCTCTCATCCAAAGATGTCTTCTCTCACATCTCATCTGCAGGGTAGCATTTATCAGCCACTGTGTAGTATCCCGTCAGGCTATTAATGGAAGAGGAACTATGGTTTATTGCTGTAATATGTGAATATATATACAGAACAGAAGAATTTAGGAAATAAAATTGCTAATTATGATGCGGAAAAGGCAAAAGTGTCAGTCTTCTTTAGCTCCCACTTACATTGATGTTAAGATTTTCTTTTCTTGCCATCCTTAATCTTACTGACAGTATATTTTTCTGCAGTTAAAATGCATCTAGTTTTCCTTATTAGCTGCTTTTATTTCCGAGCCACTGATTGCTTCTTGCAGCCATCAGCCCCCTGAAGTTCAGGCACATGAAATTAATTTATTTTTACACAAAGTTTCAATTTTTTCTAGTGAAAACCATTTTTTTTTTCTGGAAAATAGTATGCCTGCTAAGCTTTTGCTCATCCCTTGTTCATTTATAACCTCTGGCTAGACTAATGCTTTTACTCTGTGTCTATGTATTTGTTGCGCCTGTACAAATGACCGGGTACTAAGGCTTTGTCTTTCCTGTCACCCCCTTGTTTGGTTTAAAGAAGATTGATCAACATGATGCAGAGCTTCTCCAAAGTGCTTCCTTCTCAAAGGGAAGAGGAGCCTGGCTTGTGCTCTACTGCTGTCAGTAACAGTGTGTTTGCCTTGCAGTGGGGACCCGATCCCTCATGTGGAGTACACGGCAGAAGAGACCGCTACCTGGTAAGCGCTTATTTAATCTGTGACCTTTATTGGCTTCACCACTAGGAGCTGGGAATCAAAACCTAAATGGTTAGGACATGACCTCTTGAAAAATGTGTCAGGAGTACAAGCATCCTACTTAATGGCTTGTTATAAAAAACAGTAACTCATTGCACAGCGTTTTATGGTAAGGACCACATTCAGGAGAGCAAGTGACCTCCAAAACAGTGATGGTCTGTCTCCTCCTCTTTTGGGGCTGCACTTTCATGCTGCAGCCCCCAGGAGTTTCCTCCAAAGGAGCATCCCCAGAGAGCAAGGTAGATAATTTAGAGTCCCACTTCTTTAAGGGGACCTGGCTTAGCAGCAGACTCCAAGCAAAGGGCAGTTATCATAGCTGCAGAAAGAAGTATGAGGCCTGGTGAATATCTGCATGGTACCTTGCTGGCCTCACTTAGGAAAAAATGCATCCTTGAACATGATTATTTCCAGGAGTGTTGCTGCAGGAGTGTCTCTGAAAACAAGACTAGCTCATACAAGCTGAGTACACAGGCTCCTAAACAAGGTCATCTGGTTATATTGACTGTCTTCATAGTGCAACTTCAGGAGCTAACCTACAGGGAATGTTTTAATTCCAGTTAATACCATTTATATAATCTTCTGACCTTCAAGGTCAGAAATAGGACTGTGCAGATACAACTGCTGACTTTGCAGGCTCATCTGAGTGTGTGTCTGTATGTTTACACACCCCTATCAATGCACACAAACATAGACCTAGTGGTGGAGAAAGGCAAAAGGACGAGAAACCTAGAGGCATGAGTCCTTGATAGTATATAACCAGAGGACAGGAGAAGACTAGACGCATCAAACCGCTGAATGTCTGTAACCTTTTGTCCTGAAGGAAGGAGGTATACAGCACCCTAAAGAGCCTGTACCCCACCCATGCCTGCAAGGAGTACCTTGAAGCTTTCAGTTTACTGGAGAAATTCTGTGGCTACAGTGAGAACAACATCCCTCAGCTAGAGGAGGTCTCCCGCTTCCTGAAAGGTGGGTACAAGCCTAGGGGGACCCAGGTCCAGGGTCTGCCAGGGCTCCAGCATGGTGGTGGCAGCTACAGCTGGGAAACCCAAAGGAGGAGCATGTCAGCTGAGATTTGGGAGGAGAGCTGGTGGAGGCTTGTGCATTGCCCACAGACCTGTAGACCCCAGCCATGGGGACTGCAGCTAAACACGGTTGGGCTGCAACTGAAGGTCAAGCCCATAGTCAAATGATCCACAGAGCACCTAAAGAGCAGATGTTGCTTCCTAGTAGGAGCAAAAAGATTAGGCTTGGCACAGCAGAAGCCCTTTAGTTTCCAGTACTGATGCTTTTGCTGTCCGTGCTGGGAACACGGCACGCCAGCACATCCCATGGGCCATGCACCCCCACAGAGACGGTATGTGCTGTTTCAGAGAGGACCGGCTTCCAGCTCCGGCCGGTGGCTGGCTTGCTGTCAGCGCGGGACTTCCTCGCCAGCCTGGCCTTCCGAGTCTTCCAGTGCACACAGTACATCCGCCATGCGTCCTCACCCATGCACTCCCCCGAGCCGTGAGTATCGCCCAGCCCCATGGCTTCTCCTGCTCAGACATCCCACCTGGCCAGCAATTAACCTTTCTCCCTAACGGACAAACTCTGTCCACTGCTGATTCTGTTTTCCTCCTTTCTCCCTGGGCGTTGGCAGGGATTGCTGTCATGAGCTGTTGGGGCACGTCCCGATGCTGGCCGACAAGACATTTGCCCAGTTCTCTCAGGTAAGGTGGTCATCTGCTTCCTCACCCCTGAAATGGCAGGACACGATGTGGGAACCGAAACCGACCCCAGTCTCACCGCCTAAGCCCTTCTTGTTCTAGTATTTATTTTAAACATGATACATTAAACACAATGTTCAGGAGCCCTAGTGATGGACTAATACAGTGATGGATCCTAATACAGAGAAAAAATACCAGACTCTGCAGCAAAGTGTTTTTTGTCTGAGTACAATGAAGCCCCAGCAGATGCATGACAGTGCAGGGCAACAATGTCTGTTGGCTCAAGGCAGTAAAACAGAGAAATCGACACATAAAGCCCTCAGACCAAATCTATCTTGACATTTGCTCCTTCCCTTCTCTTCCCAGGACATTGGGCTGGCCTCTCTGGGAGCAACTGATGAAGAAATTGAGAAACTCGCAACGGTAAGTTTTCCTCTTTGCTAGGTGGGGACCCCAACCCGCCCAGCAGCACTTCTGCTATATCAAGGGGACTGGTCCAGCCTGGTCTCCCCAGGTTTGCAGGCTCAGAACCCCTACCCAAGCTGCTCCAGCCCTGCTCTTTCATGATGACTGTGCAGAGAGGAGATCAGTTAAACAGCAGAGCTTGCTTGCACATTAACCCAGTTTTCTTGGACACTAGAGTATCATCAAGTATCATATTTCTAACAACAGCACTGCTGGGACTCTTTGGGATAGGATTAACTGACATCTGCTGCCTTTGGTTCTCCCCCAGCAAGGTGACCTATCCTGCTCCAGGGGCACCAAGCAGCAGCACCGCACAGCAGCCGGGTGAGTAGGGGACCAGCCCAGGGACGCAGTTTCCATCTGTCCCGGCGTGCCAGCAACTTAGTTTGGAACTTTGCTCCGGCAGTAATGAGTGCAGGGTAAGGAGAAGGGACGAAGTGCCAGGCACCCAGTCAGTTAACCAACCCCAGACCCCAGCCGTGATGCAAGGGCTCAGAAGTGACAAGGAGATGAAGATGAGGAGCTGTGTCCCCTATCCATTTTAATTTCTTCTTTCACAGCTTTACTGGTTTACGGTGGAATTTGGGCTCTGCAGACAGAACGGAATAGTCAAAGCCTATGGAGCCGGGCTCCTGTCTTCCTACGGGGAGCTCATAGTAAGTCCCAGCATAACTTGCCTCTCTGCTCTACACCCTACACAGCAAAAAACCTTCTTCCTCTGCACAGCTCAACTTTATCCAATCTGTTCTCCACCTCTGTCTAACATATGTGCTCTCCAATCCCCTTAATTTCATGCTGGCATTTTTCTGTTGTGTCCATAGCACTCCTTGTCAGATGAACCAGAGGTGCGGGACTTTGACCCCGATGCTGCTGCTGTTCAGCCCTACCAGGACCAGAACTACCAGCCTGTATATTTTGTGTCCGAGAGCTTCAGCGATGCCAAAAGTAAACTCAGGTAGGACTGGGCAGTGAGAGAGACCCAAACAGAAGGAAATGAAGCTGTAGTATATTGAAACAGGGCTTGACACCATGGCTGCGTTCAGTTCAAGGTCTCAGAAGTACTATGGAAACTTGTTGTCAGGTCTTTCAAAGTAAAGTGATTCTGCAGTTCCTACAGGGTCCAACTTCAGTCCCTCGGATTCACCCAAGAGCCCCCCCAAAATACGCTGAACTCAAGGGCATGGGTGCAGAGGAGTGGGATGGACTGGGAGGCACTCTTGGAGGCAAGACTGAGGGAGCAAGAGAAGGGACAAAACTAGTGTGTCTACCTAGTTCTCATAGGAAGGAGTTACAGACTATCTCCAGTTCCCAGGAGAGGCCGGGCAATGTAACAGAGGGCTTGCGGTCCAGAAATTGGATACCCAAACCACCCACCAGGACCCCTTCCTTGCTGCAGAATGGCCAAGTGATAGAGGTCAGGTACTGGCTGTCCTTCATGGGAGCATGTTGCCAGCAGGTGTCCTTCTGAAACATGCACTTCTGCATCATGTAAAAGTTTGCTCTGTGAGTGAAAGTTTTAGGAGACGGGTGAAGAGCTGCTCAACATGGTGGCATTCTCTGAATTTAGGATGCAGAAAAATGTTTGTCTTTCTGAGCAGCTGCTGGGCAGCTTATCTATTTATCATTCAGCCAGCAAAAAAACCCCAGGCATAGTTAGTAGCTCGTACACAAACAAAAAAAGATTTGCTTGACATAGATAGATTTATCCATGGGAAAAAAGGAACTTTTGCCTCCTAGGCTGCTTAACATGGGTTCGCAGACCCCAGAGTGTGTAATTGGGTTTCTCCATTCCATGGGACTACAAATAGGATGGAGGCAGCTCTACCCACAGACATCTGTTTGGAAGAGCATTTTCTTGGCCATACCCAGAATTGCCCGCAGGAGGAAAGCTCAGTCCTTTAACATTTGACTGACATAGGAAAACTTTGCTTATACTATTTTATCTTAACTTAGGAAAGAGGTAGGATGAGATGAAGTATTATACAATGTACATGACTTTGCAGTTCCTGCAAGTGGGGTATTTCATAGAAAAAACATGGCCAGGACTTTTCAACTATTTCAACTTCTGCTTTTATTACCATCACTTGCACCGTTCATACAACTTGGAGTCCAGCTGCTCAAAAGCAAGCACCTGGGGAGGCCATCCTCTCACACACACTAGGCTGCTTTAAAAAAAGCCCAGCTGTTGCCTAATGAGTCATTTCCTTGTATTTAAAAAGGAAAAATACACCACATACACAGCCAAGATTAGGTTTTGACAGTGACAAGCACTGCAACTATCCTCTTTAAAGAGCTCAGAGACCACATAGATGTTACTCTATGAGGTGAAAACATTAAAATATCTGTATTTTTTACATTACTGGCAGCTGCCACCATGGATCTGATTATTAGTGTTACCCCTCAAGAAAAGCCTCTTTTCCCAGAAAGAAAACTTTCCACCAGTTTTCTGGGGTGGACACACACCCTCGGTGCCCTTCCAGGCACTCATGTTGTACTTGTGTACTTCAAAAAGTTGCCAAGTGAGCACACCCGTGTTGGAGGGCAAGTTTCTCACCATTAGCAGCTTTGCTACGAGTCATTACTGTGGCTGGTAGCATTAATAAGGGAGATGAGCTGGACTTTGCCTGTTAGAACTGAGATAAGCCACATCTTTTAGGCGGTGGACAATGTGAGTATGCAGACAGCGCCTGTATTTGCATTTGTTTTTCTTGCCCTGCAAGCGCCGGCCTGCTGCTTTGACCATGTTGCCTCTTGGCTCTGTCTGGTGTTTTCCCCTAAACCCCGGCAATTCAAGCCTAGGCTTCCCCGCGGTGTGCAGTACCAGCCAGACGAGTACCTGTCTTGAGAAAGGGATGTGCTTCCCCGAGCCTTGCACCAGAATAGACCCACGGTAGCCACAAGAGGGTACCCTAAGCTAAGCAATTCAGGAGGTAAAGGGTGAAGCCTCAACAGAAGAGAGGAGCATGCCTGTTGCTAGTGCTGTTTTGTCCCCTCATCTTCTCAGGCCTTTCCAGCATGAGACTATAGCCATGAGTACCTAAATATAGATTCCCAGCTCCATATTTACACATCCACTAAAGAAAAACAACCCTACCTTGTCAAGTGTTAAAATCTTAGTGTTGGAGGTGAACATGAGCAACTTTGGGGAAAATTTACCCTTGATTTGTTTTTACTTGACCATGTACTTCTCCATTAGAAAGGTATTAACAAGGTCTTGCTCTTGAGAGGTATTGAGTAAATTCAGGCTCATCACTGAGTTACAGACTACAGTTGGCTTTGGGTACAGTAGTCGACTTCGCTCAAGCGTATGGCTCTGATGATACTATTCCCATCCTCTTGCCCAGGCCTGAGCCACTGCCTGTCAAATCCATCCTTAATACGGCTTGCAGCTAGTTTTCCCCCTCCACAAGCAGAGATTAGTCAATAAATGAATGTCAGAAAGGATTTAGGAATATAATGCTATAATACCATGGGCTTTCCCTGCAATTAGCTTCTAAATCTCCTTGGCATTTTTGAGAAGAAAAAAAGAAATTGAAGTAGAGGGTGCTGTGGAGGCGACCAGTTCAGTGTACCCTCCAGTTTGATGCAAGCCCGTATGTTTAGCTCATAGAAACCCGTAGTCCAACTCATGGTCTTCCTTTGCTGAACCGGAGGGATCTCAACTACTGCTATAGCCCTGTGGAGCTGGAGAGGTGGGAAACCAGAGCTTCTGTGCTAACCTAGAAGCTCTGCCTAAAGGAGGCATTAACCTGTTGTGATCTGGGTAAATGGTGATGGGCAGGAGAGAGACTCAGGACCCATCTCTTGTACCAAGCCCTCTGCACCCTTTCTTTGCAGGAGCTATGCAGCACACATCAAGCGGCCCTTCTCAGTGAAATACGAGCCCTACACCCACAGCGTCGAGCTTCTGGACAGCCCTCAGATGATCTGTCACTCCCTGGAGAGCGTAAGGGATGAGCTTCACTCGCTGATTAATGCGCTCAATGTTATCAGTTAATACAAGAACTGGGCTCTTTCCTTCCCGTCTTCCCTTGCAGCGCCAAAACCGCCTGCTCTGCCCTTGCCTAGTTCCCAGCTGATAAATCCTACATGTCTTCTCCAAATATTTGCACCACTGCCTGTCACCACGGGACCCCAACAGCTTTTTACTTTTGTATGTAGGGCCAGCTTGGAGGAAGGCAGAGGGATGGACTCCATGTCTGCTGGCTTTTTGGGTTGCTTTTCTGTTGAGTGCTGGAAGAGGCTTAATACAGTCCAAAAGCTGTGGAAGCCATGGCCAAGCTGCAATGACGAAGTCAAGAGCTGTGTGCTAGGCTCTTGGGTGCAAGGAAGAGGAGAAAAGTGTCTTTATTAAACAAAAAAAAGAGAAAGAAAAAAATCTATTTTTCGCAGTTTGATAGAATAAATTAATCTGCTTTTTTATCCCCAAGGCAACTCCTACAGCTGCTTCATGAGGGACCCTCAGTCCCCACTATCTCCTGCCTCTTACAGCCTCGTACATTGGGGAAATGCAGAGCTGCTCTAGAGGCTTTTCTGCCTGAACCAACCCTACGAGGTTTGAAATTTCAGCTCCCAGCCTCCCCTCAGCTTCTAGCAGAGGGGGATGCTTAGGCACGAACATTTGAGCTGCACCACCCCACCAGGCTGCAATAAGCATCGTAGCTCCCCTGGACCTCTAAATTGATCTAAGCCAGGAGTTGCCTGTCTGGCATAGAGCAGCCCTGATCTACCTGCATCCTCCCCAGCACAAGCACCACAGAGCAAGCCCTGGCCACCCCAGACCAGAGCATGGGCACCTCCTTTAAGCCTGCTTTTAACAGCTCCCACAGCAGGGAGTGCTCAAGAGCCCAGTTGCCATCCTTCACAGCAGATAGTAGTCACAGCTAGTGATGCTCCTGCGTGCTGGTGGCCCTGGGCAGCCTTGGCAGCCTCTTGGTGTCCTGAGTTTATTGGTTATTGCAGACTAGAGTGGGGCCACTGGTGCCCTGAGTTTGCCAGTCCTTAGGAGGATTTCACCTGATTTCACTTTTCCAGTTTATTACACAGGTGCAGTCTTGTCTTGTTCTTAGATATCCCAATATCACTGCCACCTGATGTAGCTCAGGTGTGTGACTAGTGCTATTGCTGGCCATTTCTGAGGAAGGTAATGTATGGTTAGGATGCTCAAACTCAGTTTCATCCAGCTTTCGCTGTAGATATTAATGGCTTGATCTGACCCAAAGCTCTCGGTTTTCCTCCCCCTGCCTTTGCCCTTCTTATCTTCTTGCAGGCTGTCTCATAACTTAGCGGTTTACTCAGAAGTTTGGCCCAAGGTTATGCAGCTGTGCAGTATCAGAGCTGGGCTTGGGATGCGTGGAGGCAGCTAAACAGCTGTGGGGGACAGCGAAGGGGAGGATTACACATAGTCGCTTGCATGATCAGTTATAACATTTCTGAATAGACTTACCATCCTTATACACTATATATGATTTTTATAATTTCCTCTTTAAAGAAATGCGAGGCTTGGCATTTAAGTTTTGGCTATTAGGTGTAAGTATCCTCCAATATTTATATATACCATCACTCTCCAGTGTTAATTCTACTGTGGCTCAGTCATAATAGTTTACAATCCATTACAGTTTATCCTATTTCAGATCTTCACATACATATGCTTAACCCCCAGTTCTCTCAAATTTTAACTACTTAGCTACTGACAGCACTTAGTCTCCCACCTGCTTCAATCCCTCCTTTCTGTTTCCTTTTTTATTTGACACCCCTCCTAAATTCCTCCTTTTAGGCCTTTACTGAAATCAGCAGTTCAACACTAGGGCTAGCTGCTTCTCCTCAAGTTGTACCTCCTCGGAGGACTGACCCGTAGAATAAAACTACTGAGTTCATTCAGTTATTGTCATTTTAGAGCACTTTTTCCAAAGCTTCAGCTATGATTTCCCAATCTGGGTGGATCTAGACCTTAAGCAGTAACTCCTAAGGCTCCCTTAAGAGCTGTAACAATTTTTAATTTGGGGTCTTAATTTATTACTATTAGATTAAATAGCTGGAGCAAGCTATGCAAGACTAAGGCAGATTAGGTCATAGGTTAGCTATCTAGCCATGAAAATCTTATTGGTGACTCCAGTAAAATGGACTAAAATAAAGAAAATAAAACTCCAAACAGGCAAGATGTAACAATGAATAGTTATACACCTTATGGCCTTGTTAGCAATAGCAATGCCATGTTACTGGCCTGCAGGTCGCTGTTCCTCCTCTCCTTTGGTAGTCTCCAGCTCCTGGGTTACTGCCCACAAATGCAGCAAGGATGCTGCAAACCCTGCAACGACACCAGGCTCCTGATCAGGAACATGCAGGGAGTTTCTGTGGAGGAGTTCGCTTTCTGGTCTGGCCTCAAAACCCATAAAGGTCTGAAGGTGGTCGCCTCTAGTTCTCCAAAGCACTTCACAGTCATTATCTGCCTTGTTAAATGTCTGAAATTAATGCAATTTATAAAAAGACCAAAGCTATTAATATGGAGTGAAAAGCCAAGTTAAAAATCCTTGCAACTGCAAGAGCCCTCAACTCCTCTGCCTTGCCTCGGAGTTTGCATTGCTGCTCCATGACTCTGTCAGCTGTTGCTTGTTCAAGGAGCTGTAGTAAAATCTGTTGCCCTACGAAAATAGAAAATAAGCAAGACTCGAAGCATAAACCTGTTAGTATGCAAGCATATAAACAGATCTACTGCAGCCACATGGGAGGTAAACCCCACACAGGCTGCACCTCCTTACTTCCGAGAGATGAGGTTGTGCTGCGGCGTGCTGTGAGTGCGGGGGCTCAGGCTGAACAGGCGCCGGAGGTTCCTCTTTGGGGCATTTTCTGTGTCTGTGTTCTTGACAAATTCATGACAGATTCCAGAATTCTTTGGCCCCTTAGGGGGACATCTGAGAAACATGAACCTGTTTGTATTTACCATTGCTCTCATCTATTTAATATCTTAGAGGAATTATCCTAATTAGTAACATAATAGGTCCCCTTCCATTTTGTCTCTAAGGCTTGTTCCTTTTTATCTGATTTCAAATGCATTAAATTACATTCAAATACTTTAAAATACATTACTTAGCCCCTTATTTCATAAGCCATATATGAATTCGATTCTTCCTTTCTCATTTTACCTATTTTTCTCATGTTGCTTCTTCTGCCTGAGCCTTGTTTTCTTCTTTATCCTGCCCTAATATTTTAGGGTCTTGGACATAGGGCCACCAAGGAATGGGCTATCCAAACAAATATGGCAGGGTTGTAAACCAGTCCCTAACCTGTCACTGCTTCTTAAAGCTACTAATATTGAGGTTAACTTTTCAGCCCATCATTATGGATATTGTCCTACAATTTTCTTTAGTCTATTTTTAAGAGTCTGACTCATTTCTTTCTACCAGTCTGGAGGATTGCAGGTAGTAGGATATATGCAGTCCTTGCTTAATCCCCAGGTTACTCATTAAGGCTCGAGTTACTTCACTTACAACCCCTCCCGCTCTTCATCTTATCCTACCTCAGCTGCTGTTCCATACCTATGGACTCTTTAACAGCATTTTTACACTTCCAGCAGCTGTATTCCTTTCAGGTAGAAGAGCCTCAACCCATCCTGGAAAGATATTCGTGGTGACAAAGAGATGCTTATACCCTGCTTTAATTTGTAACGGTTTATCTGGATGGTCCCTTTGCGGTATTTGCCAAGGTCCTTGGTTTAGCCAATGCAGTAGAGTTGGTAGCTTTCTTTTACTAGTCCACTTCTGCATCATTGCACACCTTATGCAGTTTTTATTTATGTCCTCTATTTCTTGCCTCATTTGGGGCCAAATATAAATTCTTTGCACTCTTTTTCAGAGTACCCTGTACTCCTTTATGTAAACTGATTATGACAGTCCAAGATAACTTGCTGTCATTCAGCTGGCCACAGTATCCATCCAATCTTCTCTTTTAGCTGGTTCCTGGCTGGGGCTGCAGTAAACAAACTCTGAGTCAATTTATCTACTTGCTCACTAAATTGTTTCTCAGCATTACTTTCAGTCTTCCCATATACTTTAACATTCTTTACATATATTTTATTCCCACTCTCCCTCTAAGCTTGTAAAATAAATCTCCTCTTTTCTTCATGGGTGTCCCATTATGTGCTTGCCTTCGCCTTTCTCCCTATCATGCATCCAGTATTTTGTTCTATTATCAGTATAGTAGCTATCTATCTGTAGAGAGATATTGTGCAGAGGGGTTTATCTTTTACTGACAGCCTGTAAGCTCCTTGGCATGATCCTTTCTCTGGTTTCCCCACTATTTGTTCCCTCATTCCACTAATAGGAGTATCTTGGATTATTTTTCCTCCCTGTTCAAATTTAGCACTCCTGTGAGTACACAATACCTTTGGTTTGTTACTGGTTTCCTTTAAAAGGATATCCACATTAATATCCATTTCTTCTCTTTGTGCTTAAGAGCAGAGTATGAGTAGACTGAGGTACAACTGGACTATCAAGGGTGAAAGCCTCAAAGACCATCACAGCCCAGACTGCCTCTAACCAGGCTTTCTTATGGCCAGGGAAATTTTGTTCCAGCCCTTGGAGAAGGGAGGACTTTCATGCTACTGGTATCCATCTTCCTTCACTATTTTTCTGTAACAGTACTGCTCCCACAGAATCAGCTCATGCTGAAATTCTTATTATGAATAATTTTCCTTTGACTGGGAATTTTAGTGCAGGAGCTTTTCAAGCAGCTGCTTTCATGTTAGATAAAGCATCGTCTTGCTCTTTGCTCCAGCTGCCTTCCTGATTCTTTTTCTGTCATTTCCATAATGCTCAGCTGGAACTAGCAAAGATGGATACGCTGCAATAAGATACTAGCACAGTTATATACATGCTGCCATAAGAAATTAAATCCTCCCAGCACTCTTCAGAGTTGGGACTGATTAGTGGGAATCTTCATTTCACAGAAAGCTTAACTTTTCTAGCATCTATCCATCTTCTTGTTTCACCAGTTCAAATT